GATGAGGGGGAATGGTTTCAGAAAAACATGGGAAGACCTATGTGAACTATATGATCTCTATGAACCAACATGAAGTGATCAGAACCATGAAAACATTCTACACAGTAACAGCAATGATAATAAACAAGTAAAGATTTAGCTACTCTCATAAAAATGATCCAAGAAAATTCCAAAGGACTGATGATGACAAATACTGTCCAGCTGCAGCAAGAGAACTAATGAACTCTGAGTGCAGATTGAAGTATGCTGTTTTTTACTTTCTTTATTTTCTTGTTTTTTTTTTCAACAAGGCTAATATGGAAATATATTTTGTATGACTTCACATCTATAAATCATATTGCTTGCTTTCTCAATCAGTGGGAGAGGGTCTAGAGGGAAGGAGAAAATTTGGAACTCAAATTTTAAAAAAAATGAATGCTTAAGATAATTATTAACTTTATTAAAATATATAAGAAAAGATAAAAAAGATGTTAGACATCATTTTAGAACTACTGCCTTTCTGTATTTTCAAATAACTTGTACCCAAATCATCTTCTTCTTTTCCTGCATTATCTCCATTATGACTCTGTCAAGTTTTTGCTTGCACTCTAATATAAAAAAAAGCAACAGCATTAAATTTTGACATTAGCAGAATTTTTTAATTTTAAATTAGGATCCAAGATAAACAAAAAATATACCTATTTTTAGGCTTCTTGTAGTTAGCTATAGAACACAAGGAAATATGCAAAGTTGAACTAAGGTCATAAGAATCTGGAAGGGATCCAAATTTATTTGGAGGTATAAAATGATATTTGTTGTTGTTGAGCTGTTTCCCACTCCTTGTGATTCCATTTGGGGTTTTCTTGGAAAAGATACTGAAGTGGTTTGCCATTTGTTTCTCCAGTTCATTTTACAGATGAGGAACTGAGGAAAACTGGGTTAAGTAACTTGCTCAAGGTCACACAGCTAGTAAGTATCTGAGGCCAGATTTGAATTCATGAAGACGAATCTTTCTGCTTCCAAGTCCAGTGCTCTATCTACTGTACTATGCAGTTGAGAACAGTTGTGTAAATAAGCCACAAAACTCTAGTGGGGAAGAACTCATGTGTTTTCATGGACTCAGCTTGTCTTGTACCATATAACACAGATCCTTTATTTCTTGACTATCACACAATTACTCACACCCTATGGTCTTCATCCGCTTGAGTGAACTTCCCATATTATTTTGGGTACATAGAGAGCTCTGTCAAGGGAACAGTGGGTACCAATGACCCAAAGGAATTAGCCCTAGGGGATGATAAAAGAGGTTGGCATGGAAAATAAAGACACTGCCAGAGAGAATATTCTGTGGTTATAATAATGGTCTTAGAAAGACTGGATCAAGAACTTAATAAAAATGAAACTGAAGTATGCATATTAGATACCAGCAATTAAGAACAAAGTTCTTGATTTTTAAGCATCACCCACTCAAGGCAGAGGAAAGGCTCAGGGACTTATTAACAGCACAACCAAAAAGAGTTAAGAAGGGTAGAGGTAGTATGTGGTAAGTAAATGTTGTTTGCAGCACTGGTGTCTACAACCCAGAGACCCTGCTGGAAAATGTGTTTAATCTCAGAGATTAGGACTATTAGAGGAAAGAATGGAAGAGGGAATGAAGAAACTTGGGGCTTACCCTAATACTACATTCCAGGGTGTGCATGACTTCTTCCATTAGTAACATCTAAAATGGATAGATTTTTACTACTATTGCAGGAGAAATTTAAACAGAAACCCAATGAATTACTACAACAATGGACAATGATGGCATGGTATCATGGAGCTATGGCAGAGCCCCTGCTTATGGCAGAGATGCATATGATGAGGGAATTCAAAGAAGACTTACTTTTGCAAAGCCAGTTAAATCAGTTAGAAGCTGCAGATGGGAAGATCCATTTTTAGGTGGTTAAGATAGCTATTTACGCACATATAACCCCATAAAGCTGAGCTCCCATTGCAACTGGTTCTCTAATGAATGTCTGCAAGGGAGATAATGAAATGCCTAAAATTATTGGGTTTTATAGACTGGATCTATAACCGAACCACTTTGGGAATTATTAGATCTCACCTTCTGGGCAGAACCCCACCCAACTGGCATCAAGACAGTGGTAAAAACTGAGGTTAAGAACAGGCCAGCTTCAGTAGCCACCTGACTACAAATAGATTCTGAACATGGCAGGAGTAGATATAGATATCTGAGGCCTTGGTTTCATGCTATATCACATTGTTGAAGTCAGAAACTCCCTTAATAATCAGTATAACAACTCATCAATGGAAGAAAGGGGTGAGGAGGGGTAAGAAGGCCAGATGGGTCATTGGATACTCCATGGGAAGAAGGCCCTAGGTGCTGAGGGAAGTTTCAAGATGATGTATCAGCAGAGATATAGTTTTGAAGTCCAGAAAATCAGAAGAAGGGTTTGAAAGGGAATGAAGTTTGGCTAGGTTGAATCCCTTAATTAGGTTCTATATCCCTATGTGGAGACTTCCTATCAGTCTGTAAAGGTTTGTATGAACCAAGTTTCCATCTGAGGCAGGAAGTCAATTTTCTTTTCTTTTGTTTTTTTTCTCCCCACACCATCCCCCCTTTTTTTTTTGCTTGTTGGTTGAGGAAGCCTATTTGAGCACCAAATAATGTATATGTTGAGTACCAAGCAAGCAGTAATCCTGGTAAACTTTTTGAAATGACTCCTTTCCGATGAGTTTGCAAAACTTTGTGTTTGGGGATGTGTCATTTCTGCTTGTATATATGAGATTAAGGTTATGTGATTTCATCTGTAAGACCATGATACATTGACTGTTTTGAGACTCTCTCCTCTACAAGGGAAAGGATGATATTTATACCTCTCCAGTGATTCCAGATGACTATTCTGGATTGGGGATGTGGACAATGCATTAAAAATTCACCTGTTCCTGTTTGACTGCAATGATAAATTTTGCAAACTAGGGAGAGTGTAATGGGGCTTGGTGCAGGCCTATGTAACTTAGCATAATGTTACTTATGTAGAAAATGCTACAGAACCTGCTTCAGGTACATTAGAGGACTGGAACATGGATAGACATTCTTTTTTGGCCTTATCACTTGTTTGGAAACAGCCTTATTCCTTTGATTATGTGGACAGAAATGTCTATCTCTTTAAAACTGACTGAATGAGCACCATCATACTTTTCCTGCATTTGTGTCTGAGGGTGAAGGACTCCACTTATCAATTGATGAGTCTGTATGATAAGAGAGAAGGGCCCTGAAGGTCACCTCTCCAACTCTCCACCTTAGCCTAAGTGGCCCCAAGAAAAAAACCTGAGCCTTTGATTTTTTTCTTTCATATTTTTCTATTCTAGATATTGAGAGCTGAACCTCTGACCCAGGATATTAAATCATGGAATCCAAGAGTCCAGCAATTTAAGCCTGTATTGCGTCCAACTCAGCAGGGAAATCTCAAACAGCAAGGGTCTGGGACACTAGCCCAACAGGGCTTTGGACTAAAACTATGTATATAGGAACTGAGCTAAACTGTGTGTAATTCCCCTCAATTCCCCAGAGGCTGAGGTGCTATTAGGAAGGATTATGTGTGAGAGGGGGAGTTGGCGAATTTCTTCTTGTTCTGTCTCAGAAATAAATCAATCTTTGGTGACTCAAGTCAATGGCAGAGAAGAGAGACTCCTCAAATTCTATAGGATATAAGAGAACCCAAAGAGGAATAAAATGTATGTGGCTAGGTCATCAGAGAAAATGGCAAGAATTAACCTTGTCACACTACAACACAATGTTTCCCCAGATTTCAAATGCTGAGGATAGGTAGTCCTACTATGAAAAAGACTGTGATTTTCCCATAGCTATTCTCCAAAGCTCTATTGGCTTGTCTTCCTTTCTGTGCCCAGCTTCTTTCTTCTTCTCAGGGTTCTCCTCTTTCTTTCTCTCCATGAGAAATGAAGAGGGAATTGTTCCTTGGCTTATATCTGGAGGAACAAAGCACATTCCTATAAGGGTATGGAGTTGAATGGAGCTTAACCAACAATGTTGCTTGAACCCAAGCTTTTAAGGGTAGATCTCTTTTGGCTCCTTCCTGCTCTAACTTGCTTGAACCTGCTTGAACCTGCTTGAACCTGCTTGACCTTAGCTTAAAAGGGCCAGGGTCTTCTATTGCATCTTGGGCCATCTCCAGTTGTCCTAATGAATATCTGGCCACTGCATCCAGATAGCACTGAAGAAGAAAGTGAGGCTGGTGACCTTGCACAGCCCTCCCTACTCAAATTAAAGTAAATTGCAAGTCATGTCATCATCTCCCTGATGTCACTGAGAATGAAAGACAAATGTAACAACAACACAACAGAGCTTATCATGTTAACTGTTCAGTGTAGCTTATGACCTGCGTGGCATGAATCAGGGCTTCATTATCTATATGAGAATTTTCATTTCTGCCTCTCGTTCTATGAGAATATTGTAAACAAGACCCACAGTATTCCAGATCCATGTAAAAGTTCTTTATTCACAGTTCTCCCTGCACTACAAATGGATACTACAAAATACTATGCAAATGTAATTCAGAATTATTTTAAAACATTACAAATTATGGCTCCTCTACCCTCAAGAAGCATGATGTTAACCTAGTACATTAAATGAAATGAACACAAATACACATATCATAAGAACATAAGATTTAACAATAAGAAGAAAATGAACTCCTAGAAAGAAGGCTGCTAAAATTTTAAATTATTTCAGCATTACAAATATAAGATTTTAAATGCAAATTTATTTTAGTTCATCCCTGTGACCTAATTCAGAATTTCATATATGATTATGCTTTTAGAGAGATTTAGAGAGTTTGCTGTGTACAAGCAGTGTATTCATCTCCAAACCTTTTGGGTACGAAAAACTTCTATGTAGTCATGATGACTTCATTGCTTTTTCACATAACACACACACACACATAGTTACAAATGCCATCATATTTTATAATGTGTGTCATGCATTCCAAATGCAAACTTACCAACATTTTATCAATACGTTCCTTTAAAAATACGGCAACTTTTCTGGTGTTTTGAACAGCTCTTTGATAAATCAAAGTTGTAGCACCCCGGTTCCAGTCTACTACAATTACATTCACATCTTCTTTTTTCAACAAACGTTCAAGAAAGGTGAAAAGCCAGCTCGGGGGTGAGCCTGTTGGTCTGTATCCATGAATAATCCAGACAGTTTTCTTAGTTACGTTGAAATTAGAATTGAGTATGTGATTCTGTTCAAACACAGGTTCCCCACAATTAGTGAGTGGTTTTGTGTACATTATCATTGTTGATTTTAGTCTTGGCTTAAACAAATCAATGAAGGCATCTCCTAAACTCAGATCACTGAACTTAAGGCATCCTGTTCCTTTACCTGAAATACAAAACATCAAAATCAAGCAGAAAGTGGATGGAAATGTCTTTTAATTGTAGTTGTTCTCCAGGAGTCTACAAATTTAAAAACAGGCTCTTAATGAAAAATACATCAATTATTCATTTTAATTCCTTTTGTAGTATACACCACTGATTTAATAAATTTTAATCTTTGAAGATTCTCAATAATTTATATTCTTTGGCTTATACCAAACTCAGAATAGCACAGACAGTATGTACATTTAAATTGTTCTTAGTTATTATGTAGGTCCTTATTTTCCTTGCAGGCATTGTGTTAACAAAGAATGGATCAAAGAAAATGTTTACCACACATAATAATGAATACAGAAAGGCCTCATATTTGAGCCTGTACATAAGAAAATGTTTCGCTCTGGTGAAGCACATTTAAACTAGGGTCTAGTAGAGGCGCTCTAGACTTATGCCACCATCATGAAGTTCAGACCTCCATATTCAGGTAAAGAACTTAAGATATCTGAGCAAAAGGATTTTTACACACCAAAGTGCCCATTATTCCAGGAGACTAGCTGCAAATATATTAAATTAAGTAAAAGAAAAACAGCAAATAAATAAAGGGAAAAGGATAAATCCATAGGCTCTCCACAAGGAAATCTCTACAGCAAAGGCTATTGAAATGAGTACACAAAGAACAGTTCCTAATATAATTAAGAAGTATTATGGGGTAGAAGTATGCCAGAAGAAATTTCTATAAGAAGAGGATATTTCCACAAGAACTAAAATTAGTTCCTCAATTGATAAATGGTCAAAGGATATAAACAGGCAGTTCTCAGATGGAGAAATTAAAGCCATCTATAGTCATATGAAAAAATGCTCTAAATCACTATTGATTAGAGAAATGCAAATCAAAACAACTCTGAGGTACCACATCACACCTATCAGATTGGCCAAAGTGATAAAACGGGAAAATGATGAATATTGGAGAAGATGTGAGAACATCAGGACACTAAATCATCGTTGGTGGAGTTGTGAAATGATTCAACCATTTTGGAGAGCAATTTGGAACTATGCCCAAAGGGCTATAAAAATGTGCATACCCTTTTACCCAGCAATACCACTTCTAGGGCTGTATCCCAAAGAGATCATTAAAATGGGGAAAGGACCCACATGTACTAAAATATTTATTTATTTATTTTTAAATTTTATTAATTTATTTTGATTCATCAACAATCACTTCCATAAGCTTTTGAGTTGAAAATTTTTCTCCTCCTTCCTCCCCCCACCCTCCCCAAGACAGCACACAATCTGATATAGGCTTTACATTTACATTCCTATTAAACATATTTTCACGTTAGTGAAGTTGTAAGTAAAAATTAAAACCAATAGGAGGAACCATCAGAAAGATGAAACAAAACTCAACAGAAGGTAAAAATAAGTGACAGTGATTCGACTTCCACAGTTCTTTCTTTGGATGTGGACATCATTTTCCATCCCGAGGCCTCTGGAGATGTCTTAGATCCTCGTAATGCTGAGAGGGGTTCATTTTAACAATATTAGTCATTGCATAACGTGTCTGTTATTGTGTACAAAGTCCTCTTGGTTCTGCTTGCTTCACTCAGCATCAGACCATATAAGTCTTTCCAGGTTTTTCTGAAGTTAACCTGTTCATCATTTCTTATAGCACAATTGTACTAAAATACTTATAACAGCTCTTTTTGTGGTGGCAAAGAATTGGAAATTGAGAGGATGCCCGTCAATTGGGGAATGGCTGAACAAGTTGTGGTATATGATTGTAATGGAATACTATTGTGCTATAAGAAATGACGAGCAGGCTGACTTCAGAAAAACCTGGAAAGACTTGTATGGTCTGATGCTGAGTACAGTGAGCAGAGCCAAGGGAACCTTGTGCACAGTAACAGCCACATTGTGTGATGACTGACTTTGATAGGCTTGGCTCTTCCCAGCAATGCAAGGATCTAAGACATTTCCAAAAGTCTCAAGATGGAAAATGCTATCCACATTCAAAGAAAGAACTATGGAGTTTGAATGCAGATTGAAGCATACTATTTGCTCTTTTTTCTTCTGTTTTGTTTTGTTTCCTCTTTCTTGTGATTATTTCTATTGGTTCTAATTCTTCCTTACAACATGACTAATGTGAAAATATGTTTAATAGGAATGTATATATATAGTCTATATCAGATTGCATGCCATTTTGGGGAGAGAGGCAGGGAGAGGGAGAGAAAAAAATTAAAACTCAAAAGGTTATGAAGGTGATTATTGTTAAATCAAAATAAATTAATAAAAAAGAACTAAAATTAGTATTCCAGAAAAGACAATGAAATGTACAAAAGAACTCTAGGAATGGTTTAAAATCTTAATAAAATTGCAAAAGAAATTACAGGGTAAATTAGAACTCGATGAAAACTGAAAAGGTAAGCTGATATTAGAACATAAGATACAAATTCAATAACTGAAGTAAAATTGGACAAATTAAAAATTGAACACACAACATTAAGAATGAATTGACATAAAAAATTAGGGCAAAGTCTAACAATAGTCAAATTAGAAGAATCTATGTGACATCTGTACTTAAAAAAAGTTGACCTGAAGTTAACAGATTTTAGATAACTGACAAATCATTGGGTTTCCAGAAAAAAAAAACATGATGAAACAAAATTTTGAATATCATGTTTAAGGAAATCATAAAAGAAAAGTTTTGGAAGTGCTAAACCAGAGGACTGAGTAGAAATTATTAGAATCCATGAGATGCCAGTAGAAAGGAATCTCAGGTTTAACTTACCAAGAAATGAGGTTTCCAAGCTTCAGAGCTACTATGTCAAAGAAAATAAATTGCAACTTGCTAGGAAAAAGTAGATAACATAGTAAACTCCAGGTGGGAATTCTCAGGATTATTAGTTATCATTTTGAAAGGGATTTTTCAAAATTGGAATATGGAGGGGTGGAGCTACAATGGCAGAGAAAAGTCAGGGACTTACCTAAGTGCTCCCAATCTCTCTCCAAACAACTTTAAATAACGCCTCAAAGTGAATTCTGGGGTGGCAAAGTCCACAAACAATGAGGTGACACAATTTTCCATCCCAAGACAACTTAGAAGGTCAGTAGGAAACTAGAGTGAGAGTGGAGCACAGTTCAACTCAGGCTGCACCAGTACAGGCTGTGCCATAGGAAACTAGCAGCAGACATTAGGGGAAACTGAATCAGCAGAGGCAGCCACTGCTTCCAGAGCTCTCAGCCCATAGATGGTAAGGGATTGGATAAATGATCAGGAGGAGATTACAAGGGCCCATTTGCTGGCACTGGGGGCAGCATTCAGTTATATTACTCATGCTCAGATGCACGTCATAGTTCTGGGTCACAGTCCTAGGGTGAAGAAGAGCACTAGCACACCAGAGCTTGAAGTTGCAGAGAAGCAGGAACCCTGGTCACAGTTCCAGTGAGGAAAAAAGAGTGCTTGTGGTTGCTCACAGACTAGAACACAGGACAGGAGAGAAGAAAATATCTCTCCTTAGATCATATCACCTTGGAAGAACTGAAAGCTTACAAGGCCTCCAAAACCAATTTTGAAAACAGCTGCACAAAAACTTGAAGCCTGGGACAATGCCCCTTCCACTCCAGGAACAGAGCCCAACTTTAATACAAAGCTAAAAGTCAAGAAATAGCCTGGGAAAATGAGCAAACAATAACAACAAAGATCCTGACCATAGAAAGTTATTGTAGTGACAGGGAATATCAAAATACAAACTCAGAAGAAGACAACAAACTCAAAGCTGTTATATTCAAAGCCTCAAAGAAAAATATGAATTAGTCACAGACCCAAAAAGAATTCCTAAAAAAGCTCAAAAAGAAGTTTAAAAATCAAAGAGAGGTAGAGGAAAAATTGGGAAAAAATGACAGTGATGCAAGAAAAACATGAAAAAAAAGTCAATAGCTTGGTAAAGGAGACACAAAGAAATATTGAAGAAAATGGATATTTGATGAAATAGAGGACTTTCAAACATTCATGATGAAAAGACCAGAGCTGATCAGAAAATCTGATTTTCAAATATAAGATGCAAAAGAAGCATAAAAAAGTGAGCAGGAAAAAGAAATCATAAGGGATTCAATAAGGTTAAACTATTTACAATCCTACATGAGAAGATATTTGTAACTTCTTAAGTACTCTATTATTATTAGGGCAGTAGGAATAAATATACATAGAAGGCACAAGTATAAGTTGAATATGATGGGATGATATAAAAACGAAAGGGTAATGGATGTACTTGGAGAAGGGTAATGGAGAGGAAGAATGGGAGAATTATCTCATAAAAGAGGCCTGGATGAACTTTTACAGTGGAGGTGAAGATGAGGGAGGTGAGCAGAAACACTTGAACCTTAACTTTCATTGGAATTGGCTCAAAGAGAGAATAACAAACACACTTAGTTGGGTATTGAAATATATCTTACCCTACAGGAAAGTAGAAGGGGATGAGGAAAAGAGAAAGGGGAAACTGATGGCAAAGAGGGCAGATTGGGGAAGGCAGTTGTCAGAAGCAAAGCACTTCTGAGGATGGACAAGGTGAAAGGAGAGGGTAGGATAAACAGAGAAGGAAATAGGATGGAGGGAAATACAGTTAGTAATCATATCTACAGCAAATATCTGATAAAGGCCACAGTTCTCAAATATATAGAGGACTGAGTCAAACTTATAAAAAAAAATAAGAGCCATTCCCCAATTGATAAATGGTCAAAAGATATGAATAGGCAGTTTTCAGTTAAAGTAATTATTGATTAGAGAAATGCAAATTAAAACAACTCTGAGGTACCACCCCTCACCTCTCACATTGGATAATAGGACAGAAAAGGAAAACAGAGAGGATGTTGGGAAATTAGGCCACTAAAGCACTGAAATGAAGAGAGGGATTAACCATCAATAGAGAGAAAAAGTTTAATTATAAAACTTTATTATAGCTAATTATATCACAGCAAAACTGAAAATGTAATTGTAATAAATGAATAGTTATGAAA